AGCACCACACACCATCACTGTACAGCACCACACCTCACTATACAGCACCACACCCCCCACTATACAGCACCACACCCCTCACTATACAGCACCACCACCACACTATACAGCACCACACACCACAGCACCACACACCTCACTGTACAGCACCACACACCACCTCACTGTTCAGCACCACACACCACCTCACTATACAGCACCACACCCCCACTATACAGCACCACACACACCACCTCACTATACAGCACCACACACCACCTCACTATACAGCACCACACACCACCTCACTGTACAGCACCACACACACCAGCACCACACACCACCTCACTATACAGCACCACACCCCACCTCACTATACAGCACCACACACACCACCTCACTATACAGCACCACACACCACCATACAGCACCACACACACACCTCACTGTACAGCACCACACACCACCTCACTACAGCACACACCACCTCACTATACAGCACCACACACCACCTCACTACAGCACCACACACCACCTCACTATACAGCACCACACACCTCACTATACAGCACCACACACCACCTCACTATACAGCACCACACACCACCTCACTATACAGCACCACACCACCTCACTGTACAGCACCACACCACACCTCACTATACAGCACCACACCCCCCACCTCACTATACAGCACCACACACACCACCTCACTATACAGCACCACACCCCTCACTATACAGCACCACACACACCACCTCACTGTACAGCACCACACACCACCTCACTATACAGCACCACACCCCCACCTCACTATACAGCACCACACACCCACCTCACTATACAGCACCACACCCCTCACTATACAGCACCACACCCCCACCTCATACAGCACCACACCCCACCTCACTATACAGCACCACACACACCACCTCACTATACAGCACCACACTATACAGCACCACACACACCACCTCACTGTACAGCACCACACACCACCACTATACAGCACCACACCCCCACCTCACCATACAGCACCACACACACCACCCCTCACTATACAGCACCACACCCCCACCTCACTATACAGCACCACACCCCCACCTCACTATACAGCACCACACACACCACCTCACTATACAGCACCACACCCCTCACTATACAGCACCCCCCCCTCACTGTCAACATAGGGGGGGCGTCGATCACCGCCCATCTGTGCCTCATCCAACACAGTACAGGATTATCTTGAAGGTCTCAGTGTTTATTATGTCCCGGGGAGTCGGTAGTGTGGTGGTGGTCGTCTCGGCTATCATAAGAGATAGTACACTTAAGACACTTCCACAGGTATTTGTTTACGCTAACCGTTTATAGGTACAGTAGTCAAGTGGTACAGTACTCGCCTCCTGTTCCAGGGCGCTCCTGTTTTACCCAGCTGTAAATGTGTACCTATACTGTATGAAGGTTTAGTATACAGTGTGCTGTATCCACACTGTCCCTAACGGGCAGTCATGCATACGGGACCCACTTTCACTTTTAGTCAAGAAAATTAGTTTCGTTTTAAGATTAAGAATCTGAGCTGCAGAAATTCGTCCCCGAAATGGTTGTAAAGGTCCTTTTACCTCTACAAAAGTAACACCACTGACGTTATCATCATTATTATAACCTCTGCTTTATTCTAATAATTGTCTTTACTATTAATACTATTATTACTTTCCTGGCGTTGAGCGGTAACACCATTTACAAATTATTGTCACACATTAATGTGTTTTCCGGTAATTCGAGAATGCCAACATGCTATCTAGGGCCACAAGGACAAGCCGGGCGACACAGCCATTAGTGCTGTACTTGCAAACCTATCTAGTCCCAAATTACTTTACAACGTACTTTAAATACGGGAAGCGGGCACAAAATACGCAATTTTCCCGGTTAGCAGCAATCCGGCGGTGATGGTAGCGGGCTTCTGATTGGGCTAAACTGGATTAGCTGAGGGCGGCGGCCAGGATAAACACTGGCGGCGGGTGGTGGTGGTGGCCGACGCCTCAAGGGCCTTCTGCCTCCTCCTGCTGCTGTTGCTGGCGGCGGCGGCCAACCCCTGCACATCCTTTTACAACTTCCTCTTCCTGCCGCTGTTGTTCCTGGTTGTGGCCACCAGCACATAAGGTTAATTCTACAGTCTGAAGTTGGTGGTGGTGGCTCCGAGTACTTACTGGTAATAAGTAACACATCTATGGTAGTTGTGTTGACGCTGCACCTTGAGGTAAAGGTGCTGGTGCTGCTGTTGTCTGGCGCTGTGACTGTCTCTAACACTCTTACAGTAGCTGTCTTTGCTGCAGCTCAGTAACGCTGCTCTTACTGTTACCGCCAAAGGTGTTTACTTAACTCTGTTGTTACAGCGTATACTGCAGGGGGAGAGATAGCGGTGCCTGTCGTCGTGCTCCTACCTGGGTCTACACCACCATTACGTGTACACACACACGCACACACACACACACACGTCCACAAACGCGCACACATACACACACAACGTCCACAAACGCGCAAACATGCACCTACATACACACACACGTCCACAAACACACACACATACTGTACGGTCAGTTAGTCAATGAGTCACACACACACACATGGTCAGTCACACATGTCCACAAACGCACACACATACAGGTCAGTCAGTCAGAGACACACATACAAGTTACAACGCCACTCTGTAGTTTGTGAACACATGTGGAAACACTGGAAGCTATTAATCCATTTGGAACTGTACCACATCATGTCTCGTAAAGTAAAAAGATACAACAACGATCAAAAAAAAGGGTAACAGGACAAAAACTGATAAACTAACATATATGAAGACGCTCAAAAATAACATAATGCACAATGTAGGATAATTAATACAGTTTGGTGGAAAATTTACTCACAATAATGTAAAAATCTATCCTCAGGAGTAAATCAGCTCTATGGTCATATTTCTTAAATGATTAACTGACTGACCAACAAAGAATGTTTCTCCCACCTCTCCCCAAAGGCTCCTCCCTGCACCCTCTGGCCACGAATAAAGTGCTGTCAAGTACTCGTCAGCCTTATATCTCCTTATTCATCTGCGTATTGTTCACATATTAACTTATTTATATTGAAGAGGTTACTGGGAGTGTGTTACCCCAGGGAGCTGTGGCGGGATACACCCAAGATTAACTTGAGTCTTGACCTAACACGATGGTCAGTGTGGACGGTGACTGGTGAGATGGCTCCCCGTCCTAATAAGCCCCATGCACCCTAACCTAAAATATCTCTACCATTATGATACCAGACCCCAGTCCTAATGCATTCACATGCCTTAGCATATAACAAGTAAAACTCTGGTATTCTGTATTCTAACAGTAAGTGAAACAATACCGTAAACATAATTGTCTGTCTGTGTGTATTACTGAATTAATTGTGTTTGTGCTGTGGACCTAAATTTGTATATTTTCTTTGTATTCTGACGAGCCCTGAAAGCCCGTGTTCATATACTCACACTTGTTACCGTGAAAGTAATAATGGCTACACGACTAAATAGCAATAATGTTATTAGTATAAACAGTATCAACATCACAAGTAATCTCAGTCGCACATTAAGGTTACCAGCATAAGAGGCCGGGTGGTCGTCAACCTTCCATGTGTGGTATCATTTACAGTAAACACGGAGGGCTGGGCTTGGCTCCGTAACATAATGTTATCCCAATCACAGTTTTGTGCTAACATCAACAGTGATGTAGACGAGCTGGCTTTTGTCAAATGTTGAATGTTGTGAGAGCGAGTGTATGAGGGCGGCGGCCGGCACATTCATCACAATATTTGGTGATTGTATCAGCCCAGTCTAAACACACAATCAAAACAATGATTTATTGATTGTGTTTTGACTTTTACTTAATCTTACAACAACGTATGAAGAGACGGTTAGTGTCTCACCGCAGTTTATGGTTGCCAGGTTACGCTACATATAGCAGTTGTCGCTACATCTCTTATGGTAGTGTTTGTGGAGTGAGAACTTCTGGCCGCCAGGCGCCCATGTTTGCCGCGCTTCGGACGCAGCACCCCTGAACATTTGACGGTCCATACACACTGAAAATGTTTTCAGCGCCCTCGCTACCAAGTAAAACCTACGCGACAATTTTTACACAAACTAAAGATAATTCTTACTATATATCTAGGCGTCTGCTATATGTAAACACTTTATCATATACCGGTACATACCCTGTATACAGTACTTTTAAATTATTATTTGTATTTATTGTATTTTATTTATGTAATTCGCGTAATAAAACGACTAGCTTTACATGAGCACAGTCTCCGTGTCTAAACTATCACAAAAGAGCCAACAAAGTAGGCGATAAATAGCCAAAATAGCGAGCTGCTCGGCCGTCTGTTGGCGCGGTGTGAGGGTGATGGTGGCGCACCCAGGCGGAAACTCGCCCCGATCCCGCCAATTAGAGTTGTATACAAAATCTATTACTGGGCGGGGTCGAGCCCTCAGCCCACAGTGGCTAGAGCAGCCAGACCTGATTTACTGCCATTATATTGACTGACGCTGCACCCTTATGGCAGACATTTAGCACCCTTGAGCGTTGATGAAGTGTGATATTGTGTGACACTACAACCTTAAAGGTATAATAGGGCGCCGCGACCCTGGTATGGGCGGATTGTTCGGCTCTGATGTTACTCCGTCTAGCAACCTTACTGGCCACCTACAGGGGTAAACTACAGCTCATCAACACCAGACAAACATAAAAGCAAGAACACAAAATATAATCTAAAATTTAATGCTCATGAGTTGGAGAAATAAATCAATAACAAATTGTAAATATCATATGATTCATGAATGAGGAATAAATGTAAACCCAAGACTCATGAGCAGTCGACTAGTACAGTGTATAAAAGTGTCATGAATCCAAGGAATAACTTGACTAAGATTGTCATAAGCCTGAGTAATAAACCAGGCTGCTGTATATATGTGTCTTTCCACTACAAGTATCTGATGCTCTTCTTTGTCTTCCACAGAAAATGGACTACATTTATACAGTAAGTAAACACCTTTGTCTTCTGTTCGCTTTAAATCCTTCACTTACTTGTTGAGAGCCTCAGTGACGCCGTTACCACCTACTGTACAGTTCACAGGTAGGTAGAATAATGGACACTAGCTTTATGGTAAACAATATAATGTCTTGTCTATAATGATTAACTGCGTCAAGTCTGTCCAACTTCCACCCTTCTTGACGCGGCTGGTGGAGGTTTGTACACCGTGAGGATGTTAATTATTGAAATGCAGGTAAAAATAGCCAATGATTAATTCTTGGTTTCCATTTTTGTTAATAGTAATGATATTTTTAGTACAGTATTGTGATTATTATTATCAATCCTCGCACTAATGTGCTTTTTTCCCTCAAGATTTCTAGAGCCACAACCTGGCCACGGGGGGAGGGGGGGGGGAGGTCCAGAACGACCTGGCCACTGAGAATGAACATGATAGATAAGAAGGCGGGAGGTGTTGGGTCCAGTGTCACTGATGTAAGGGTAGACCACCACCACCACCACCACATACTATTACAGGACTAAAGAGAGACATGTTGGCCACGAACTTGTTTTATTAACGTCTGCCAAAGTTTTAACTCATTAGCTTTTAACATCCTTGTAGCGGCGTCGAGGAGGAATATGTAATCACTCATAGTGGAAACAAAATATATATATATAAAGTGAGTTTGTCGACTATGGACAATCATACAGGTCTTCCCATCCAATGGTCTTCACCCAGATAGCTACGAGCTGCCATTCCATCCATTGTCAAAAGTCGTGAAACTCTACGGCAATGCCAGCCATTGTTTCGCTCGTTTTCACTCGCTTTCTAGGCGATAAAAGAGCGATAACTCTAACAGTGTGTTACGCCATCACTTCATGGGCAGTAGGCAGCGTCAGTGTACACACAGTAATCTACTTACAAGTTTTCTAACTCACTAACTATGGGTCTTTATGCTTTTAAACAAAAACAAAACAAAAATGACATAAGAATAACAATATTATAATAATATTGATACTTAAACAAATATTAATACTGAAACAAAACAAATGAAGTTTCCACGATGACATACTTTCTAAATGGCGGATTACACAAGCCACCGCCTTCCTTTTCCCCACCAAACCCATAAATTAAATATGCACACTCACTAAGTTTTCAATTGTTCCTAAAGTAGAAAAATGAACTCATAAGCCACATAACAACCTGCACCACTACACACAGATTCACGTCTCTGTTGTTCTTGTCGCTGCTCCTGTAAAACCAATTTCTCAAGGTAGAAGATGACCCATGATAAATTCAAGACTATACATATGCCAACACACACACACACACACACGCACACACACACACACACACACACACAGTCAGATATATATGTAGATACTTACAAGGAGTCCCCCCCCCTCCCTTCCTCCCTAGTTTGTTTTCTATATGTAAAGATTAAAGTTCTTATTAGTATATACCTTATACCGTTGTCTTTCCCGGGTTGAGAACTTAAATCGTTTATAAATTGAAGTATCTTTTCATATACATTTTTCCTGGGAGGTGTTGGTTATAGTTAATATATATATAAACAGTATACAGGTCAGCTGAGGCGAGTCACACTGTACAATACATGATCCTCTTAATGTGATAAAGAACCAGAACACAACAATAGTAACAGGAAGTATGGTCTTAGCAGCGAAATTTATTAGTTTAAAATCATCAAACATCACAAAAGAGAAAAATGATTCAAAGCTCAAAAAAGTATCTTTACGATTTGGTGTGAGACAATATGACACAACGGACGAAGGATTATGACAACCCTACCGAGACAACAGGAGTCACAGTGTTCATTTTGACATTCATCGGACCCCTCCGTAAAGATACTTTTTGGAGCGAGTTTACGTTAAAAAAAAATTCTTACGGGGTCATAGTGTATATAAATCCTCTACTAGCTACCTCGCCTTTTACTATATTCCCCATTTCTGTCTTTTTGATGAGCTATACTTTACCTTTCTCCTTCACTCCCTTTGACCGATAACTTCTCAGGCAATATGACCTACTTGTGTTTTGAAAAATATCCAGGTTACTTGATGTGTCGTGGTCTAGCTGATGTTGTTAGTCTCGGCAATATTTACACAAACTTATACCCTTAACCTTCCAACGCCTCCTCTTCCCCCCTGAACTATACAGGTGAGATATATATTTTTTTATCTATCAAACTTGACCATTGTTACTCAGACAACGCCTCATCACGATTTTTTTTCCTCCCTGCTCTCGTATCAACAGTATTCTTGACACCCTCGCATGCACTGCTCACAATACTCAAAGGCCATTTTCTATGCTTGGGGTATAGACGTATAACGCTTCGGGTCCACATTCACCTCTTTAACATCATCTCCAACACACAGAGGCCCTGGCACCCACTCAACTGGACACCACACTATACATATATTACCATCTTAGTAGATTATTATGTTTACTACACTGTTAACACATCGTCATCACCACCACCACCAACAACAATTTTTCACACTGTTGAGACATCACAGTGTGTTTATTATAGTGATACTGTTGACATAATCCTTTGATAGTGACAGCAGGAGTGACAGTATACCATAACAGGGACAGTACCACAACAGGGTCAGTACATTATTACCTGGGTAGTGACAGTAGGACAGCAGTGAAAGTATAAGAGAAAGTACCAAAGTAGTGGCAATATTTAGTTTGTGACTTATAAAGGGTCAGTACAATAACGTATTAGGATAAAATAAGCCCCAAGTTAACATAACAAAATCACACACACACACACACACACACACACACACACACACACACACACACACACACACACTTCACAAAACTCCATTACTGTTTCTTCACTTTTAACCCTTTGATTCTGATGACTTAACCCCTTGAGGACTATTACTGAGCCCCTTGAGTATATGATGACTGAACCCCTTGAGGACTATTACTGAGTCCCTTGAGTATGATGACTTAACCCCTTGAGGACTATTACTGAGCCCCTTGAGTATATGATGACTGAACCCCTTGAGGACTATTACTGAGCCCCTTGAGTATGATGACTTAACCCCTTGAGGACTATTACTGAGCCCCTTGAGTATGATGACTTAACCTCTTGAGGACTATTACTGAGCCCCTTGAGTATGATGACTGAACCCCTTGAGGACTATTACTGAGCCCCTTGAGTATATGATGACTTAACCCCTCTAGGATTATTACAATGGTTCACAAACTAGGGGTAATTTGACCATGTTCAGTGTGGTAATTGGATACTGTGTCAACAAATAAGTAGACAGTGTACATTATTTATATATAGAGTACCCAAATATTGTGCAGCGGTTAACGGGACTTTTCACTTGAGTTTTCAATGACATACTTGTGTGAGTTCAGTTTCTCCTGCTTCCTCCACATGACAACATAGACGGGAACATGCTGTGTATGCGTCACCTGGTACTGCTGTGGCACTGTTCACCACCAGGCTCCTGCAAAGCAATCCCATCCTCTCACTGATTAATTAAATTGTTTTGTATTGTTTTAACTGTGGAATCAGAGCTGAGTAAACAATAAACTTGTTTTTGAACTGTAAATTTGCTATTGTCTATCATATGATCTTAGTTGATGATACAGGTGAGCCAGGTGATGTAGAGTCATTATGAAAGCAGCCAGGTGAAGACTGGGTCATGAATAAATACAGTTTGGGTGCCATTACTTTACAACTGCCACTGTAATCTAGGACTGTAGGCAGCTAGTAAAGCACTAACGCTGTGAGCAACCATTACTCTAACACCAGAGTTCACTGTACCCTCACCCTACTGTAACACGACTGTATCAATCATCCTACTGTAGTGACTCAGTGAGCGGCCAGCATGGGTCACTACATCATTCTACCCCACCATCCATACTGTAACACTTGGCTGTATCTGCCCAGCAACATGCCTCACTGTAACCATTCCTTTACTATACTCTGTTCCCCAACGAGCACAATTAACTCATTGTACCCACTACACCATAACACATCACTGTACCCTTCCTCCCTCCACCATAACATCTCACTGTACCCTTCCTCCCCTCCACCATAACACCTCACTGTATTCCTCCCCTTTCACTGTACCTCACTGTACCCCCCTCCACCATAACACATCACTGTACCCTTCCTCCCCTCCACCATAACACCTCACTGTACCCTTCCCCTCCACCATAACACATCACTGTACCCTTCCTCCCTCCACCATAACACCTCACTGTACCCTTCCTCCTCCACCATAACACATCACTGTACCCTTCCTCCCCTCCCAACAACACCTCACTGTACCCTTCCCCTCCACCATAACACATCACTGTACCCTTCCTCCCTCCCACCATAACATCACTGTACCCTTCTTCCTCCCACCATAACACATCACTGTACCCTTCCTCCCCTCCCACCATAACATCACTGTACTTCTTCCCTCACAACAACACCTCACTGTACCCTTCCCTCCCTCCACCATAACACATCACTGTACCCTTCCTCCTCTCCACCATAACACCTCACTGTACCCTTCCTCCCTCCACCATAACACATCACTGTACCCTTCCTCCCTCTCACTGTATCACTTCCTCCTCCTCCACCACACCTCACTGTACCCTTCCTCCCCTCCACCATAACACCTCACTGTACCTTTCTCCCTCCACCATAACACATCACTGTACCCTTCCTCCCCTCCCACCATAACACATCCTGTACCCTTCCTCCCCTCCACCACCTCCTGCTCCCACCATAACACTCACTGTACCCTTCCTCCCTCCACCACCAACACTACCCTTCCTCCCCTCCACCATAACACCTCACTGTACCCTTTCTCCTCCACCATAACACCTCACTGTACCTTTTCCTCCACCATAACACATCACACCCTTCTCCCCTCCACCATAACATCACTGTACCCCTCCCTCCCCTCCACCATAACACCTCACTGTACCCTTCCTCCCCTCCCCATTCACTGTACCTTCCTCCCCTCCA